ATGGACACTTACAATTTCAAGGCGATAACTTGGTCAAAATATGTAATGCCCTGCATCGAATTATAACTTGGGAGGACAGCAAAACTGCGAGTGATGCTCAATGTCTCCGACATGTTTTATGTAGTTCTGAGTCCATTATTGCATCAGTATGTTTGAATGATGTCTTAGGTATGTGATGATTTATAGATTTGTAAAAAAAAATTTATGACTTTTTATTTAATGTATTAATATTTTACATTTTAGGAACAACTGTGTCACTTAGCCGTTTTCTTCAGACTTCGTCTATTGACTTGAAAAGGGCAACCGACGCAATGAAAGACACTATTTTTCTTCTGAAGCAAAAGAGAACAAATAGTGATGTTGTTTTCCAGCAATTATTTTCAGAGTCAAAAGAGATTTTCGAGCAGTTAGATGTGGAGATAAGATTACCAAGAATTGTTCCTAGACAGAAGCACCGAGAAAATAATCAGCCAGGTCAAACTGCAGAAGAATATTTCCGCAAAAGTATATATATTCCTCTCTTGGATTCAATAATAGCAGATTTAGAAGAACGACTTTCTCCAGAAGTGCTTTCATTGTTTAATTTGGGTGTATTTTTACCAAAAACTGTTTACTCAGAAGTTGATTTGGTAGCCGTACGGGAAGCAGTTAAAAACTACACTGAACTTCTACACAGGCCTCATATATCTACGGTATTGTCAGAATTTCAGCTTTGGGTTACAAAATGGAAACGTGAAGTAGAAAGTGGAAATAAAGTACCGGAATTCTTACCTCAGGTAATAGAACAGTGTGACACAGATTTATACCCAAATATAAATGTTCTAYTGCAAATACTCGCAACACTTCCTGTAMGTGCARCTACAGCGGAGCGATCGTTCTCCACTCTCAGGCGCCTTAAGACGTGGCTTCGTTCAAACATGGGAGAGGAACGCCTCACTGGTCTCGCTTTACTCAATATTCACAAGAATATAGCAGTAAATGTTGATGACATTATAACCAGATTTGGAAAAACAAAACAAAGRAGACTAAACTTTGTCATTTAATTAATTAAAACAACAATTATCAATAAAGTTCTTATTTTATTATGTCTTAACTGTGTATTAAGTTTTTGTCTTTTCGTAAATATGACCCCCCCCTCAATTTTAGTTCTAGATCCGCGCCTGTGTCCTGTACCTATTGGATAAAGTAAAAATACTATTTATAAAACGTAGTTTATTTTGTACATTACTCGGGTAATTTACACATATTATCTACGACTGAGTGGGTAAAATACTTTGATAAAATAAMGATTGTATACTGTATAGACAATTGTTTTTTATGATACACAACAAATACTATATATATATATCATCTATTCACTATTGTATATAGTATTTGTACACACGCAATAACTTTTATAGTACTTCAGTGCTATCTGCATTCTACTTAAATATTTAATAATAATTTTAACTCCGACCCACGAGAGGAGTATCCCGCTACGGCGCTACGCGCATGCAGAATTGCAGACTGAGTAGACTGACGCATCACGCATAGATAAAGACGGCAGTCGGCAGCGACCGTTCCGAGGCCTCTTTGTGTCATACTGTCATTCAGTGTAGGGCTGTAGCGTGCATACAGTGCGAAACAAGCGCTATACAGAGTGATTATAAGATATTGTCATTCATAATATATGTATTATTATTATAGCCCGTGCGGAATAAAACTGAATTAGATTTTTTGTTATTTTTTAAATATTCAATCTGTTTACAAAATTGAACTATAAAAACATTAACAATTAAAAGTATATAAGTAGATAATATAGTGGCACAGACGTATTAACACATTATAGCGAGTATACGTTATGATGCATATTATACAACGAGGAAATTCTGTAGCGGAAAACGTTTGTTAACGAAGAAATTCGGACGGTCTGTTTGCTAAATGAAGCTACAAACTTAACGTTTGCAAACGCCATGATCCAGCGTTTGGCCTGTTTAGTTCTTGACGTTCTTGTAATACAAAACCGTGGTAGAATTTGTTTATACTTTTTCCGCTATCGCTWTATGAATCACGACTTATCAGTTACCATGATTAACTTTTTATGTCTTACACCACCGTTAAACAACACACCGCACCAAACCAAGCGCTCACGAATTTCTACCTTTTCAACGTTCATACAGAAAAACGTTTTCCGCTACAGAATTTCCTCAACGTGGCCTACAACTTAGATTTAGTTCATTCATTCTCTTTGAACTACATGCATTTAGTCTGTTTGGGTGCTGTTAAGAAATTAATTTTACTTTGGTTGCATAAAGGGCCATTGCTTGTTCGTTTACATAGTCGTAATGTCAAGAAGCTAACTTCTTCATTGTTAGATTTAAAACCGTATATTCCCTCTGACTTTGTTAGAAAAACAAGAGAAATACAAGAAGTATGCAGGTGGAAAGCTACCGAGTTAAGGTTGTTTTTGTTGTACATAGGACCGGTTGTGCTAAAAAATATTGTGAATGAAGATGCTTACACCAATTTTATKGCCTTACATGTTTCTATGTTGGTACTTCTAAGTCCTGATTACCAGCAATATGTAAATTATTCGAAACAACTTTTGAATTACTTTGTCCAAACGTTTGAAATGATATATGGCTGTCAACATATTTCGCACAATATTCATGGACTTACACACATATCAGATGACTATGAACGCTACGGTCCTCTTGATAATTGTAGCGCATTTGTTTTCGAAAATTTTATGAAAGAATTGAAATCCAAAGTACGAAAACATGATAAGCCTCTTGAACAAATAATAAATCGATATAATGAAGTATATTATAGTAGTGAAATACAAAAGAATGTTTCTCAAAATCCAAAACAATATATTACATCAAAATCACATACCTACGGATGGACCATTAATTAATAATATTGTTGGAATTCAATTTAAAAAAATACAAATAGGCCATATAAAACTGAACATAGCCATTGAAAAAGAAAGTTTTTTTTTAACTAACAGCGGAGAGGTCGCTAAATGTTTGAACATTGTACAAAGTCAAAACCACATAATAATAATCGGAAGAATTTTTGAAACTAAAAATGCATTATATAAAAATCCTATTGATTCAAAATTATTAAATATTTTTATTGTTGATTCTCCTTCTAAAAATTTAAAATATTGGAATTATTTTGAAATAAATAAAAAAGTTATGTTGTTAACTCACAATAACATATTAATTGCAATGCCTTTAATTCATACATAAACTTGTATTTTTATTAACCTATTTAATTCATAATTATTATTTTTAAACTTTTTACTATACTTAATACCTATAATATCTTATGATTTATTAAAAATGTATTTAAATTATTTTTATTATTAATATTATTTTTAATTATTATTTATTTATTCATTTTAATTTATTAAAATACCTATTAATTTGTTTATGTTATTGTTTTAATACTGACGAAACAGCATAATGTGGTTTGTTGTACATTTTCTCAAAGATAATACAATAGAGTCAGTTCCTAATGTTTGGTTCGATAAAAAGGATAAAAAATGTGCATGGCCATTATCAAAAAACTCTGCTAAAAGAATGATTGAAAAACGGACTTATCCAAACAAATTTGAATTTCAATGGTTTTCAGCTAGAATTCTTGGACATCCATATGGTAAGAAAWATGACCAAATTTTTTAGCTGAACTTCAATATTTTAAAGTTATTGTTTATTTAATTAATGTGTGCTATATTTTAGGCAGTTTAGTTGAAGCTCGTTTAAAAGCTAAAAAAGCTCAGTTCTTGTCAGATTTATCTTCTGAAAATGAAGATTTTAAAAAGAAAAAAAAATCCATCAAGAAATATGAAAATTCTTCAAAGTCTTCACTAATTCCAAGTCCTCCATCTTTAATAACAAGTAAAATACATTTTTAATAAGTTTTTTTAAAAAATAAGTCAATTTTAAAATAGAAATAGGTATATGATTAATTGTTTAATTTATTTTATAAATAAATATGAAACACTTGTCAAATTTATAATAATGTATACTTAGATATTATTATTAAATTTTATAAATGTAAATTAATTAGTATCATAGATGGTGGTTGTAAAGAAATAATCAAATCTGTCCAACATAAAAAAATTTTTTAAGATGACACTATACCCGCATGTGTTGTCTCCGACTTACAAGTTTAGAACATAGCAAAAATTGTTTTGCGTGGGAAAGAACTGAGAAGGCTACAGTAATAATTAAGAAACTAAATTTTCACCACATATAAAGGAGAACTTTGGCTGTGAAATTTCGTTTTTATTTTTTTCGATATCGGAATTACAAAAACAGTTGTTCAAGTTTTAAAAACACAAAAAAAAATGTATTTTGAAATAATAAGAACTTTTTTCGTATAAGTGATATCGAAAAAATAAAAACAATATTTCATAGCCAAAGTTCTCCTTTTTATATGGTGAAAATTTAGTTTCTTAATTATAACTGTAGCTTTTTCGGTTATTTCCACACAAAACAGTTTTTGCTATGTTTTACACTTGTAAGACAGAGACAACACATGTGGGTATAACGTCCTCTTAATGTTATTAATTGTCAGATTTTGTATAGAAATATCTTATCACCCATCCACCCTCTCTACCATACAATTAAATTAAATTGTTGTCCATGATTAGTTCAATATTAGTATATTGATTAATGTACATTAAAATAATAATTAAAATAATTTGAATTTGTACAGAAAAGAAAAACTCTCTGGACAAACTAGTTGATTTTAATAACATTTCAGAATCTGAAATTGAAGACATAGTCGATTCAGATAATGACCCAGAGTACCTTCCCAAATATTCAGAAAATGGTATGTTTAAATTCTTTATAATAATTTCCTTATATAATATATTATATTGAATATCTATGTAGGTTGCTAGATATACAATTAACTATAATTGTTATAATATTGTATATTTTGTATTCAGTTGATATGAGCCCAATCAAATCACCAGTTAATACATACAATACACCAGTAAAATCAACCATTGTGTATGATAATGCGCCTGATAAATCCCCAGATAATGTCAACAATTACTATTTGAAATCATCAATCGGAAAAATACTTGTTGAAAACGATAATATTTTGAGCAGTAATAATCAAAATCATTTTATTGGTTCATCATCCCAGCCTATTATGAATTCTCCTATTGATGAAACGATGAAAACTTATAAGCGAGCATTATTTATGTCTGAGCCATCAAAAAAAACTATAAAAGGTTTGAAGTAAACTTATTTTTTATTTTATTTTTGTCAGTTATGTTTAATTGAAATAATTCATGTTGTATTTTATGACTTATTACAGATACTGTTTTGATTTCTTAAAACAAGCACAACCACAAGACCCAGAATTAATGTGGAAAAAGATCGTTATTTAATGCCACCAGCTGGTATGTTAAAATTAAATATTATATTACAAATAATTAATTAAAAAATTATGTTTTAATAATTTGTATTATTATGCCCCTACAATAATGCTCTTATTTATAAAGAATTATTGTTGGTCATGTGTTATTTTAAATACTAACACATATCTATAGCTTATTTATTGCAATTATATTAACCATATTAATCATTTTATGGCTATTATATAAAAAAAAAATGTATAATCCACAACATTTATTTGATTCAAGAAACCTATTTTATTGCTGCAAAATTCAATGAAAATTGTATTATTTTTCTAGTAATAATGCAAAGATTTCAACACTTAAGATAAAATTGTTCCTATATATACTCCTTATTAAATGTAAACACTACCATACTTCAGCTTGTAAGTTGTAAGACACAGATCTAAATAAATAATATCTTTTGTCTACTATGGGAATTGATTTGTATTCCATATTAGTATATAGAATTTATAAATGCATTAATAAATAGCCATAAATAAATTTGTAGTCAAACTTTTAGATTCACGTACGTCTGTTATCATGTTTTATAATAATAAAATACTATAAAAAATTACTAAATTGACTAAAAATAATTGCCTTTATTCTAAAGTAACATAWTTGAAAAATTGTATTCTTTTTTGT